TCATATGCCCCTCAGACAGCGTTTCTCTGGGAAAAATCAAATTAGATTTTTGACTTATAGCATGCTTTCAAAGAAGGTAACCCGGGAAAGTATTTGAGGTCTACTTTATTTATGGATGACAATATGGTTCCAAATCATATTAGATTGTAAATCTTCATTTTGTTGAACAAGAGCACATTATTATTAATATTTGTTTATGCTCTGACATTTCTCCTTCTGGTCCTTAGTTCATGCCTTTTAAAAAACCTAGTTGAATGTGTATTGCATTTACAATTTGATATCCTGTTGGGTTTTTTTCCATTGAATGTCATACTGAGCATTTTTCCTGTCTTTAAAGGCACATAATTTAAAACTACATAATTTTAGATTCTAGCATTCCCTCACTTGTTTTTTCCCCTAATTGTTTAGCATATTGGCTGCCTTAAGTTATTTTAAATAATGCTGTGATGAACATCTTTACTTGTACATATAATATACATATGTATATATCTTTATCCATATTTCTGGCTAGAGTAGATTACCAATCACAAAACCATACATCAGAGTGTGATTGCATTGAAGACTTATTAAAGCCTTGGTGCTTTTTTGTTATTGAGTTGAGTGAGCCCTTTAAGTCTCCTAACTTTGGGGCATTTACCTTGCATAAACCTGGGGTAACCTCATTTTGGTTGATAGGCACATTATATATCTAGTCCTTAAACAACCCTTGGGGTGATTTTCACAGCTATCCATTCCACTACCAAAAGCAAGTCAGCCCACATCCCATTCTGTTTTGGTATTACCTCCTATATGCCTCAGGAAGCTGGAAGGTCAGATTCTCAAGCTTGTTAGGAGTTATCAGTATTGTCCATCAGTACTCAGTAAGATGCAGATGAGAGACCTCAGGAAAGAATGCAGAGTGCAGGCGCTCTGACCCCTACGATATGACTGGCTCAGGTTTCTGGGGGCTTCCCGGAGAAGCAGAGTGCTGCTCAGATCTAAGTGCATTTTTAAATGGTATTTACTAAACCCTATAGGAATCTGACCCTAAGAAAAGACACATGTTTTCACCTACTGCTCTCTAATGCTGACCCAGTTTTTATAGTTTTCTTCTCAGATGATTTCCTATGTTTGACTCCTTTAGGACTTTAATAATTTTCTGTGAAACCTTTCCAACTACAAGTGGGTGTTCTAAATCATGATGAAATCTCATGGAGGCAAGATAATCATACATTTTTATATTCATTCATTAAATATAAAAAATATAAACAAAACCTATTGCAGCTTTAGTTAAGATCACTTTTCCAGAAGTATCCTTTAGGAATTCTTGTCAGTAGATCAGCTTTGGCAGGTAAAAACACAAATCATGAAGCAGCCAAAAAATTTTTTTAAAAAGGACCCTTAACCAATATCATCAAACACATACTAGCCAGCATTTTAAAGGAGTACATTTCTAAGCTAGTATTACAGTCTTATGCACTCTTCCAGCTTTACCTAAACTGTCATCAGAGGTAGACCTGATATTTATGTGACATTTATAATGTCTGTAGTTATCATTTTAAAGTCACAGTGGTAGAGATGTGAAATTCTTGCCATTCTGTTTGTGGAGGTAATGGGAGAAAAACTGGCTCCCAAATGAAGCACAGCAAAGCAGATCTCGTGTGTGTGTGTGTGTGTGTAAGCGTGTAAGCTCTACATGCAGGACTTGCAAGCCACCATTAGCATAGTGGCATGTCGGGCTTTTCCATCTCATGTACCGTGACAGCATAGCCAGGTGTCTCTTTGACCTCTGGAGAGGAAATGTGTTTGCCTACCAGCACTTGCAAACTGTTAAATGCAGTGGATTCCTTTATGTTTGTATTTTAGGTTATTCTCCTTCTCCACCCCCTACATCTTATAGGATCACATTTCTTATTCTGTTGTATGAAATAGGTGGGAAATCAGACCATTTTGGAGGAGGGGGACAGGTATCACTTTTGCCATGGCAAACAGCACACTTGGAGATAATTTCTGCTCAAGCCTTAAATGTGTAAAATGACATAATGGAAAATGCCTTGGGGGTAGGATAAGAAATGGAACACCTGCAAACCATTGTACAATTAGTCCATTGTTCTGTACTTTAGGGAGAAAAAAACTTTCTGGCAGTGAAAAAAAAAAAAAGTATTTGAGAAGGTATATTGAAAAAGCATTTGTGCAGCTTAAGTTTGAGAAAGAAATGCTAAGAATTCAAAACTCTGTCAGGCTGCCTTCTTTTTTTTTTTAACCTTTTTAAAAAACCTTTAATTTAGGGAAAGATAAGTTATCGTAACAACATTAGCAAGTGGTCCGGCTACCTCATGCATTCTATAGGTTATATAAAAGCTGAATGCCCTTCAGGACCACCTGACATTTCCTGCCTGGGGTTGCGATGAGAACTATCCCCTCTGATAAGAGATGGGGCAAGGGTTCTGACTGCATGTAAAGTGTCCCCATGCTCTGTGCAGGAGAGAAAAATACGAACATACACAGCATTAAGTTCTGAGCAGCCAGGCACCAAGAGATGCTTAATATTGAGGAGAAGAGTTTCTTGATCCTGGATGGATCATGGAATATTTGAAGGAAGAAAAGGATAGAGAACGTTCTAGCCATGGAGAGAGGTGGGAGACCTGGAATTTGTGATAAAGGGGGGATTGGCTGACGTACTTGGGAGTACGCGTAGAGAGGCTGTTCTGACCAAAGGAGTCACATTAGCAAGACAGACGGGGTTTGCAGAGAAGGAGCTGAGAAGGGCTCTGAAAGCCAGACTGAGGGGTTTGAATGGAGATGGTTCTAGTGAAACCACAAGAAGGTTTCCTTAGATGGTGTCCAGGTCTTCCTTCAGCTCCGGCTCTTGGTTCTTAGGAGGCATTGGAGGTGGGGGCAGGATAAAGGAAGTGAGAGAGGAATATTAAGCCATGTGAGCCTTTATTTTTGAAACCAAGTAAATTTATGTCATTTTACAGGTATTGGTCCTGAGTTTTAGAACATTCAGCTGTCTCTTTTGTTGAGCATAGATAACTCTGGACTTGTCTCCTTCATAGGTTCTAGATTCTCTATGTCATGGAACAGGACATCAGACCAAGATTGTTTGGGCCATTCTGTCCCTGATGAAGAGAGCTTTACCACCCTCAGTGCAGACTGCTGCTTTCCTACTTCCCTAGTAGCGCAGATGAAATTGAGAGTGTGTTCGCCACAGGTGTACACAGCAAAGACATACTTGTAATCCGTCAATAGAAAAATGACACCATCTGTTGGCAATGTAGAAAATGACAGTGACGCTGTCACTGAGGGTCAGGTGTTAAATCCAAAATTACAAAGAGGTCTGACTGTTGCTAGGGTATGAAGAATGCTAATTATAAACAGAAAAATGAATATCTATAAGTTCCTCTATTGCCTTTCAGATATTCATTTACAGACTGGTTTGTGAATTTAAGTCTCAGAATGGGAGAAAGATAAAAAGACCAGAGATTGTGGCCCTGTGTCAAAGGTGACAGCAAATGAAATGGTTTTTTTCATATTCTATATAGTATAATTTATGGTGGTACAGTCACATTTCTCAACCTCAAATGGGAGGTAGGGGTGGCTGAGGCTAAGAGAACACCTTGGTTCTTGCCACAATAATCTTTAAAATCCACCTTCCTATCAGAGTGTAGTCTTCTTATACCTCGTGGGTTGGCCACTGGTTTTAGTATTCATGAGGCCTGTATATGCATCAAAAAATAAAACGTAAATACTGACCCAGTATCACAGAAAAACTCACCCATCCCTTTGACAGGATTTTCGGTTAATTTATGCAGGCCCCTTTGCACTTCAGCATTTTCCCCACTGGTTGCTAGGCAACCATTTGAGTTACTGCGCATGCCTTTTTTATGATAACTGTCATTATGATTTTTTTTTAATTATATGACTGGGACTATAGATTAAAACAGCATATTGTCACTCATTCTCTGCTGCTGCTTCTAGCATTTTCACACACTCCTAGGATTACCTTCCAAAATTTACATGGCAGTGATTTATTTATTTTTATTTTTTTCATGTATTTCTGGCTTCACAAAAGAAGTGGAGATGGCATTGTAAGGGAAGTGAGATTTTTGTGAAAAATGACTATACCATATCTCCCAAGCTGTTATCGATCTAGATAGGCTGAGTCAGAAAATAGGATCCTGAGCCTAAATTATATCTTGTTCCTTTGACTGTGTCTGCTTCTAACATTAAGTAATGTTAAATGCTTATGTTGTATTATAGTCTGTTTCTCAAAATTACAAAATGTGAAGCATTTGTTGCTATTAAATGTGCTTTCAAATAAAGCTACCATGAAGTGGCGGGGGGGGGGGGAGCGGGGGGAGGGTACAGCACTGATCCCAGCACATGAGGCAGCCACACTTGCTAAATATGTTTGTTCTTTTCTGCACAAATTACTTCATACACACAAAATGGAGTTAGGCAAGATGAAGGGGTTCCTCCGGCAAATAATAATAAAGGTACGTGTGGTTCACAATGTGTAAAAATGCTTTCAAAGGAATAAGACTGCAAAGACAAGACAGCCCTAGTACATACAAAAGCTTTTCATTTGAATTTCCACAGTATGTTCTAACATACTATTTTCTGAATATACAGTGAATTTGAAAACAAAGGGGTATGGAAAGAAAGTCAGTGTATTTCTTTTTTAACCAATTCAGTTATTACTCATTTAGAAATAGAATTTTTAGTGGAATGGGATATTTTAAATATTTGTATCAAACTGAAGAGATTCAGTCTGTGGATTTCCCATACATATATGACAGAAGTGGAGACCTACTGGTATTTTCGTGTGATTTTGAAGTTAGCACCAGGGACATTAATCTCTCATAGAGTTAGTTGTAGGATTTTCTTTGATCTAAGGAGCCCCATGTTTCTATGCATGGGATGCCATTTGCTTTCCTGACATTTTCTGAAAGAGGATGCAAGTTTGTCTCAGTAGTGCATGATCTGTTATGTTTTTGTGTGTTTCCCCCACCCTGCAGTTCAGGGAGACAGCTCAGTGAAGTCTTCATTCAGTTACCGTCAAGAAAAGAATTGCCAGAATATTATGAATTAATCAGGAAACCAGTGGATTTCAAAAAAATAAAGGTACATCTTTTGTTTACAAACTTTTTATTTCTTAAAGTAAATAAAGCAGAAATGTAAATAGGATGAAAAAAGCATAATTATTAGGACTTGACAGTGGTGACCTATCTTACTGCCACTGACACCCACCAGGGCTTGGCACTAAAAAGGAGAGGATGTTCTTGTGCCTTTAGATGTACGTTATTTAATCATCATATTGAGAGCTCGTATTGATTATATTGCACTTTATTTAGGAAGTCTCAGATTGCTCCCATGATCCCAGTGCTCTTATGGGTTCCCATCATATGCTCCTCACTGCCCCTTGTAAGGAGGAGTACCAGTGGGAGGGTGGTCTCTGTGGATGGCGCCCCCTGGAGTTGTGTAGCCCCACCTTTCTGGCAGGACTGTCTACGGGGAAGACAAAGGGAAGATCAGGCTTTGTTCACTAAGTATTGATTGTGGTATTTCTACCTCCAACCCCCCACCCCCACCCTGGCACCCCACCCTCTCCTCTGTTTCATCCAAAATTTCCATCAGGAAAGAATTCGTAATCATAAGTACCGGAGCCTGGGTGACCTGGAGAAAGACGTCATGCTCCTCTGTCACAATGCTCAGACATTCAACTTGGAGGGATCCCAGGTGAGACACGTTTAACCTTAAACATGCCTGTGTTTTTTTAAGTCAAGTATTTCATTTGCTATCATCAATCCTATCCTGGCAGAAGAAAAGGAAAAATAAAAGCCTATCTTTCCATGCTACTTACCTATGTAACTCAATCGAGGCTTTGGCATTTTTAAATTAATGCCAGCTCCTTTGTACCGTATCCATGCTAGTTCCTACTTGTGCTTCCCTTTTAAGGCCTGGCTTTTAACCAGAGGAGGAATTTAAGTTAATAATATAATGCCTAAAAGCTAGAGGTACAATCTTTGCTTTTATAGAAATGGTGTATTTGGTTATATTTACCTTGGGTTTTCTGATTGTAACTTTGCCTCAGGAGCTGAAACTGCTATTTTGTTTTAAAACAAAAATTATATAGCAAAAACAACCGTCACTTCTAATTGTTACAAAAATGCTTTTTATCAGGTCAGCTGCAATTCTCTTTACTTTCTTTCTCCGCAGTTAGTGGGTGTAAGAGTCTGTAAGTAAGTGATTCTATTAAAATAACTAAGGTGGTGGAGGACACTCTTGCTTTAATTACACCTCAATTCCACTCACCTTTTGTAGGAACTCTCCTTTTTCCATCTATGCTCTCACACTCAGGAAGCAGAAAGAACATGAAGGCAGGTCAGTGTGTCTGTCAACCACCATCAAATTCCTTAGGCCTCTTTCCTGATCGGGCTTTTTAAATCTTCTTGTCAGTTCTAGTCACTAAACTGGAGAATGTGGGACTCCTCAGAATGTGCCTTGAACAGACTATATATCTTTCCAGTTAATGGGACTTAATATTAGTGTTCTTTTGACCAAAACAATAGGTTTTGAAAGCAAGCCTTCTTCAAAGAAATTTAAGGTGAAAACTAGGACACAGTTAAGTCCAGGAGTCAATACAGAAGGGTTTTGTGAATGACCGCTATGGTTTGTGGGTAGACTGGAGGTTCTTTATAGGACTGTGGCTGCATTGTAATATTCACCCTGTCCCACCACCCCCGGTTTGCCACACTGCCTCACCCCTGACCTGGTGTGATAAATGGCCTCTTGACTGGCTTCCCTCCCAGGCCCACCTGGATGTTGGTTTATCTTTCTCTAAGTACCTTTTTATTCTGTCCATCTACTGCCCACCAAGCTTTGAGCTTCCCCATGTACTGTTAAATTGTAGAATGAATTTAATCGCCAGAGTCTGCTTTCTGAGGTTATATCCTCTCAATCTTTGGCCTTCTCTCCTGCTGTCCCTCAACCTAAACACTTCATAGTCCAGTAAGACAGGTCCATAAACACCCACTTCCCCAGATACACATGTAGTTGTAGGAAAGAATATAAATACAGAGAATGTCTTGATAGTAACATCTTGCATAACAGTCATCCCATGTCATAACCAGGAAACTGATGATGGCTCTGTCCCAGACACATTTTTGTGATTCTTGCCTCCCTACCCTTTCCTTTGCTCCCCTTTCCTAAAAATCCCTGTTTCTGACCCCTGATAGGCTTGTCCTCACCTTTAAGATCCAGCTAAACTGTAGTGTCTCTGGCAAAATTCTGCCCCAGTGGCCCCATCCCACTGTGTCTTCTTTACCATTTCTAAGTGTACAGCTCAGCAGCATGAAGGGTATTTTCATTGTTGTGCAACAGACCTCCAGAACTTTTTCACCCTGTAAAAGTGAAACTCTGTAATCTTTCCACCACACACTGTTCTACCTTCTCTTGCTATGAATTTGACTGTTCTAGACAGCTCATAAGTGAATCACACAGTATTTGTCTGTCTGTGAGTGGCTTATTATTTCACCTAGCATCGTGTCCTCGAGTTCATCCATGTTGTATAGCATGTAACAGGATTTCTTTCCTTTTTAAGGCTGAATAATAGTCCACCATATGGATAGACCTCATTTTGTTTATCCATACCTCTATGAATGAAAATTTGGTTTGCTTCCACCTCTCGGCTACTGTGAATAGCGCTACTGTAAACATGGGCATGTACATATCTTTTCAGGACCCTGCCTTCAGTTCCTTTGGGTATATGTCTGGAATGGGCTTGCTGGATCATATGGTACTTCTGTTTTCAGTTTTTTGAGGAAAAGGACCATTTTTGAACTTTTATCTCAGCCAACCACACAGGGCTATATTCACATATGTGCATATACTAGAAATAAAGCATTTACTGCAATACTGTTGGCTGGCACAGATAAAGTCAGTAATAAGTAATGGTTTTCCATTTTTGTTAGAAGAGTTGCACCTTTAAAAAATGTTGCTGTACCACAGTACTTGATGGAACAATTTAAATAAGAAATATAGTTTGATTTTATTATTTTTTCCTTCTAGTTTTATTGAGATTTTAGTGACCTATGGCACTGTGTAAGTTTACAACATACAGTATAATTTTACTTACATAAATCATGAATTGATTGCCATAGTAAGTTTAGTGAATATCCATCATCTCATATAGATATAAAATCAAAGAAATAGAAAAAAAATATTTTTCCTTGTAATGAGAACTTAGATTTACTCTCAACAACATTCATATATAACATGCAGCAGTACTGATTATATTTACCATATTGTACCTTACATCCCTGTACCTATTTGTCTTATAACTGGATGTTTGTATCTTTTGACTTCTTCATCCAATTCTATCTTCCCCTACCCCCGCCTCTGGTAACCACAAATTTGATCTCTTAAGAAATAATATTTTTTAAACACTAGTCTTGCTGTCAAAAATGAGAGGACATCTTCTTATGGAAGCCCACCCTTCCCTCTCAAGCATGTGCGCACACACACAGACACTGAAATTAATTCAGCTGTATGTGGACTTTTCCTATAAGAATATCTCTGTAGATCTGAGTTTGGTGTTTTCCTGTTGGGTGTCAGAGGTGTGGGCATGGGGAAGAAAAGAGCACGCAGCGTTTGTGAATCTCAGGTCCTCAGATTGGGGTTTTCAACAGTTGCCATTTTGACCCTTTAGATCTATGAAGACTCCATCGTCTTACAGTCAGTATTTAAGAGCGCTCGGCAGAAAATTGCCAAAGAGGAAGAGAGTGAGGACGAAAGCAATGAAGAGGAGGAAGAGGAAGATGAAGAAGAGTCGGAGTCAGAGGGTGAGTCCACGCGGTTCCTCTACTTCTTTGGGCCCTAGCCGCCTGCGTCGTTTCTCCAGATGCTCACAGGGCAGGATGTGAGTCAGGCAGACCTGGATTTAGGCCTTGGTCTTCTGTAGCCTTTCTGGGCAACCCTGGCCGTGGACTTAACCTTGCTGTTACCCAGCACGGTGGTTCTCTAAACTGGGTGATTGCTGGGCTCCACCCCTGAGGTTCTGATTCAGTTGCCTGTGGTGGGGGGTCTCAGAGTCTAGTGTTTCTTCCAGGTTTACGGGGGATGCATCCAGCACCACACTTTGAGAATCACCACCTTGACTGTCAGACTGTGGTACATTTTGTCCTTCGTGGATCAGATACTGATCCTGTCTTTTAAGTTTTGATATTTTATTCATCATGGGTTTTTTTTGCCATGAATTTTGAGCTTTTAAAACATTGCATCGACTGGTATTTATCTTGGTTACTGAATTTGGGGGCCCTCTCAAGTTTTTCACCCAAGGCAAGAGTCTCCCTAGTCTTAATCTAGTCCCAGTCTTGGTGGGTAACCATATTATTTCAAAGGTTAAGGCTGCCTTGAAAACGTCTAAAATTTCTTCTTACCTAATTATGTTTTCACCCCATACTTCCTCTCAAAGTAATTATAGTCTTCTAGATAAAACAGTATAGGTACGCTTTAAAATTTTTTTATTAGATACATGCTTAGTACAGACAGCTTGGAAAATTTTTTTAAGAAAAGAAAATTTGTAAAATTCCATCACCCAATATACATTTAACTTCAGTTGCCTTCCAGTTTTTTCTACACATAAATATTTTATTTATAGAAGTATCACACACTGTTTTATAGCATGATTTTTCTATTAGGAACATTTTCCCACAGCAAAGAGGTTTTTATACAGCCATACATACTAACATCCATTAATGAATGTACCAACAGAGAGTAATCTCACTCTAAACAATGCTGTCTGAACATTCTTACCCATAAATCACTGCACACATTTTAAAAACACATCTGATGCCTGCGTATTACCACAGAGAATGGAGCTGACATCTTTGTCAGCAGTGTACAGAAGTGTTTCCCCACACCCGCATCTGCTCTCAGGATTATTCTCTTTAGTGAATCTGCCTTTAAAGTATTAGTTTAACCTTTTTCAGTTTCATCTGGTTACTCCCTAATTTTATATCCTAGCATTTGATGATTAAGTCTACATAATTTATTCTAGCTAAACATTTCTGTATTTTAGCCAGATTGCTGATCTGTTTTCAAAAAGCTCCCTTCTTATCCCGGCTATCAGTTGACTTTTTCCCTAACTTCTCCTGAGACTTAGTGTATAACTTCCTATGGCAGCTCTAACAAATGACCGCAAACTTACTGCCTCAGTACAACTTACATTTACTGTCCCACAGTTCTGTAGGTCACGAGTTTGTTGTGGATCTCTCTGGGCCAAAATCAAGGTGTTAGCAGCCTGCGTTCCTCCGTGGGGGTTCCAGGGGAGAATCCATTTCCTTGTGTCTCCTTCTCACATTGCATCTCTTTGACCCTGTCTTCTGCCTCCTCTTCATCCATGTTCTTCTTTTTGTTGTTGAGGTATAAGTGATATATTAGGTTCAAATATACAGCATAATGATGCCATATTTGTGTATATTTTGAAATGATCACAGTAAATCTACTTGACATCCATCACCACATAGTTAGAAAAAAATTGTTTTTTCATGACAGGTACTTTGAAGATTTACTCTTAGCACATTTCAAATATGCAATACAGTATTCACTATACTCACCCTGCTTACCTTAAACGCCATGACTTATTTATAACTGAAGATGTGTACCTTTTGATTCCTTTCACCCATCTCCCACCTCTGCAACCACCATATCTGTTTAGTTTTTAATCTCACATATAAGTGAAATTGTACAGTATCTTTTGCTCTCTGATTTATTTCATTTAGCATAGTGCCCTCATGGTGCATCCATGGTGTCACAAATGTCCTTTTTTTTTTTTTTTCCATTTATTTTTATTAGTTGGAGGCTAATTACTTTACATCATTGCAGTGGTTTTTGTCATACATTGAAATGAATTAGCCATGGATTTACATGTATTCCCCATCCCGGTCCCCCCTCCCACCTCCCTCTCCACCCGATCCCTCTGGGTCTTCCCAGTACACCAGGCCCGAGCACTTGTCTCATGCACCCAACCTGGGCTGGTGATCTGTTTCACCCTAGATAATATGCATGTTTCGATGCTGTTCTCTTGAAACATCCCACCCTCGCCTTCTCCCAGAGTCCACAAGTCTGTTCTATACATCGGAGTCTCTTTTTCTGTTTTGCATATAGGGTTATCGTTACCATCTTTCTAGATTCCATATATATGTGTTAGTATACTGTAATGGTCTTTATCTTTCTGGCTTACTTCGCTCTGTATAATGGGCTCCAGTTTCATCCATCTCATTAGAACTGATTCAAATGAATTCTTTTTACTGGCTGAGTAATATTCCATGGTGTATATGTACCACAGCTTCCTCATCCATTCGTCTGCTGATGGGCATCTAGGTTGCTTCCATGTCCTGGCTATTGTAAACAGTGCTGCGATGAACATTGGGGTGCACGTGTCTCTTTCAGATCTGGTTTCCTCGGTGTGTATGCCCAGAAGTGGGATTGCTGGGTCATATGGCAGTTCTATTTCCAGCTTTATAAGAAATCTCCACACTGTTTTCCATAGTGGCTGTACTAATTTGCATTCCCACCAACAGTGTAAGAGGGTTCCCTTTTCTCCACACCCTCTCCAGCAACAAATGTCCTTTTTTAAAAAATTTTATTTTATATTGCAGTATAGTTGACTTACACTGCTGTGCTAGTTTCAGATGCACAGACAAGTGATTCAGTTATACATGTATCCATTCTTCTCCAGATTCGTTTCCCATGTAGGTTATGACTCAGTTCTGCTTAATCTACTGCTAGTGTTCTTGGGGGTTCCCTTGTGCCTAAGCTATTTTTGCTGCTGTTAAGGTTTTTTTAAGTTTTGACATCTCAATTACAGTATGTCTCAGTGTGCGTCTCTTTGGGTTTTCCCTTGTTTGGGAATCCCTGGATCCGGACCCTGCTGTGGGGATCTGGACCCAGCTGTGGGTCACGGCGCCAGGGATAGGGTTTGCTATGAGATTATGTCTCTGCCCCTTTGCTCCTCTTCCTTGGTTCAGTGTGGGTGCTCCCTCACTTGTCAGCTGGTTTCTGCATCCTTTTCAGAGGCAGCTGTCCCATTTGTAGCTTACATTCAGTATGTCTGTGGGAGGAGGCGGGTTCAGCATCTTCTTGAACCAGGAGCGCCTCTTCTCCCACTTTGAAGGACCTCTGATTAGACTGCGCCTACCTGGTTCATCTAGGATAATCTCCCCCTCCCAGGGGATTATGGTATGCCCCTGTCGCAGTGCAAAGGAAACGTATTGACAGGGTCTGAGGATTAGGACGTGGACATCTCTGGGAGGCCACCACTGTTCTGCCTGCCACCCTGGTTAATTAGAACTTGTCACAGGTCTATGTGGTGGTAATGTAAAGCCTCAGAATGCTGTTTAAAGGGCCCATCTGATGGTCCAGTTTATTAGCCCAGTTGCCCACGGCAGCCTGTTAGGTGGGGTTTGTGGAGGAACATAATCCACTGACTCACAGAGTCTGAAGGCTTTCCAGTGCCCACCGCTCCCATGAGCATTTAGATTGTGTTCTTGAGCATGCATTTTCTTGCCTTTGCTGCCAGTCTTCAGCCTTTTCCTGACTTCCATGGGTTTCCTGTACTCCTGTGTCAGGAAGAACTACACCTGTATAGGTAAAGGTAGTACACTTTTTCTTTCCAAATTACTATTTTTTTAATTTAAAGGCCTTCATATCTTATACACATTTCCATTAGTAGGTAGACCTTCTCATCCCCAGTCTCTTCTTCTTGTCCTAAATTACTCTACCCAAAGCAACATGTCCCTGCCTTATAGCTCATTAAGCAGCAGACATGTGGGTATGGTAGATGGAAGAAGCCTGGACTAGAAATACTGTTTTGTGCACTAGGATTTGCCAGCTTCTGCCCTATTTGGGATGGGGGGAGGGCATATGATGTCCCTACACTTCAGAACAGCTCTGTCTCATCTTTTTAGTCAGCCAACACTTCCATGGAAGACTTAATCTCTGGAAATGTTCAGTGCGTCCCTCCTGCTTCACAGAAGTCTGAAAAGTTCTCATCTCTGAGATTCCTTCCAGAGCTGATTCCCCCCATGACAATTATCTATTTCTAGGTGCCTTGAGACCCACCAGACACGATATTCTAACAAAACAGGTTTGAATGAGAGATATTTAATTCTCAGTCACTTCATCATCTATTCTGGGACGCCCAGAATGATGCCGGGTGACAGATTTTCTGTGTACCATGGGATGTACACCTGTAATTGTGGTATAACACTTTGACCTCTTTCTTCCAAGTGTTTTTATTTCTATCCTCAGAACAGTCCTGTGTAAGTGGAACTAGGTGCCATCTTCCTGTATGTGTTTATACTTGTATTCTTTATAGACTCTGTATACAGAATTATATGGATGTCCTCTATAGAGATTCATACACACAGGGATGAATATATTTGCAAATAGGGATGTATACTACTTTTTCTGGAAATAATCAGTAGGAGAGAGACTAGAGAAGAGGGGGAAAAGCTTTCAAATTCACTTTCCATTTTATACGTTACTGTGCTGTTAAATTTTTAAGTCAACTGGAGTTATTTAAACAGTAAAATCATTGGCTTTTTTTTTTTTAACCCTTTTATACTTACATACACTTTTTAATGTCAAAGTTCTCTATTCAAAAATGCCCATACCCCTCCATGCAGTCAGTAAGGCAGCCTTCACCATCCTGGTTATTAGGAAGATCCCTGTTCAGCCATCAAGAGACCTGGAAAATGACCCAGCCCAGCTTCCTCCAGGACCCCATTAAGTCTAGTTGCCTGTTTAGGGTGACTATGTAACTTATCATGCAAAACCAAGACACATTTGCAAGTGAAAGGGTGCTAACTATAATTGGATCAGCCACTGGATAACAGGCATGAATCAAGGACATTCTGTGCACTCTGGGATGTTGGCTTTGTCATTGGTAGGCTGGGATCATTTTACTACTTGTAAAGAGAGTCCCCTGTGATTCCTCATTGCTGCCTGTTTTGGTTTTATTGTAGCGAAATCTGTTAAGGTGAAAATCAAGCTCAATAAAAAGGATGAGAAAGGCCGGGACAAAGGAAAAGGCAAGAAAAGGCCAAATCGAGGAAAAGCCAAGCCTGTGGTGAGCGATTTTGACAGTGATGAAGAGCAGGATGAAAATGTAAGTATGGCTGTCTTTGCTGAAGTTGGGAAGCCCTCCCCACTTCTGTTTCCCTCTCATACGCCCATGCTCCTTCCACCCTCTATGCTTTATTACTCAGAAATGAAAATGTAAAGATTCGGGGAGATTTCATTATTGAGGGATGTGAACCGAGCTGAGTGATTTATAACAAAGAATTTGGGGCTTTGTTTATTGCCTTTTTAATAGCCTTCAAAAATGAAAAACTGCTAAATCAAGTTCCCTCTCTCCCTTTATCTTCCCAGTGCCTACTTACAAATAGAGTTTTCTTTATGGAGGGTTAATATTTTATAGCCATACCACCCAGCATACCTAGTATATTAGTGGTATACAGAGGAAATGACCATTCCATGGGAGGCTGAGAAAAAGTGATATGATGTCAGAGTTTTGGATCTGAGTTGCTACTTCAGGTGCCATACAAAGAACTCAGATGAATTTTACATACCTAGAGGTGTTATTTTTTAAATTTGAAAAATTCAGGGTGCATTGAGAGAGCCAGGTCCTGACATAAGGACCTTCTCATATGGTACCATCCTTAATGCTTATAATAATCCTAAGACAGATGTCACTCTCACCTTATTACAGAAATCAGTGCCTATTTATGTTATGTGTGTTTTGCTGCAGGTCATGTAAGTAAACAGCAGGGCTGATTTCAGACCCAAAGAGCACAGCTCGGTCTGGTGCGCTGTCCTTGACTCTGTGGGCAGCCCCGGTAGCTTCTAATACAGTGCCTTCTGCAGGGCCCTCCATTTCATTCACTTTCCAGAGGACTTCCAAGTTTCCTACCACCAAGCCCCTTCTTTTGCTTTCTGGAAAGTTAATTTTCCATCTTCAAATGTATGCTAGTTTGACTTTCCTTCAACATATTTGCCATTGAGGTCTGTTGAGAAAAGTTTAGCATTTTTATCCCACCCCACCCAGCCTGAACCCTCGACACAAGCATTTTCAAATACATTCTAAAATCCTAAAATCAAACGCACAGTACTTTATTCTCTCTTGCAATGTGTGCATGCTCAGTCGTATCCAACTCTTTGCAACCCCTGTTGCAAATGGACTGTAGCCTGCTGTCCATGGGATTTTCCAGGCAAGAATACCGGAGCGGGTTGCCATTTCCTCCTCCAAGAGATCGTCCTGACCCAGTGACTGAACCCACATCTCTTGCATTGGTAGGTGGATTCTTTACCACTGCACCACCTGGGAAGCCCATGGATTTTCTAAAAATAGTGCTCAAAATAGAAATCATTAGCCATGAACTTCCCCAGTGGTCCAGTGGTTGTGAGTCTGCCGGCCACTGCAGGAGACACAGGTTCAGTCCCTGCTCCAGGAGGGTTCCACACACCATGGTACAGGTAAGCCCATGTGCCACAACCACTGAGCCTGCGCTCTAGAGCCGCAGCTAGAGAAAGCCCTTGCACAGTAACAAAGATCCAGCACAGCCATAAAGAAATCTGAAGCCGTGAACGTTTCACACCCAACTGTAAGAGAGCACAACACTGGCACAGATGGCCAGCACTGCTTTGCGGTCTCCAAGTAGGAGCTCCCCTTTTCAGCACAGAGACTGTTGATGCCTCTTTACTAGCATGGTTAACTGTTGCCACAATGTCATTTCTTTTCCACATTGCCTCTTGATGGCTTATTGTCTTTCTGTCCTACATTTACTTTTAGGAACAATCAGAAGCCAGTGGGACTGATGATGAGTGATCACTACGGACATTTTTTTCTTGGTAGAACTGAACTCCTTCTTCCCCTCTCTCGTCTCTACCCAGTGAGTTCATTTCTCTTATGGGCACTGGGTCGTTTCTATATCATTATCATCTATAAACTAGCTTTAGAATAGTGGCAGACAAACATATGATATCATGGTGTAAAAAAACACACACGCATACACAAACCTTTGTAACATATTGTGACCAAATGGGCCTCAAAGATTAAAACAAACAAAAAAGCTTTTGATGGAAAAAATGTGGGTGGATGGTATATTTCTATGGGTGGGTCTAATTTGGTAACAGTTTGATTGTGCCTGGTTTTATCACCTGTTCAAATGAGAAGATTTTTGTCTTTTTTGTAGCACTGATAACCAGGAGAAGCCATTAAAAGCCACTGGTTATTTTATTTTTCATCAGGCAATTTTCAAGGTTTTTATTTGTTTGGTATTGTTTTTTTTTACACTGTGGTACATATAAGCAACTTTAATAGGTGATAAATGTACAGTAGTTAGACTTCACCTACATAGACATTTTTCCATTTTATGCTCTATGATCTGAAAAAAAAATGCTTTTTGAATTGTATAAGATTTATGTCTACTGTAAACATTGCTTAATTTTTTTGCTCTTGATTTAAAAAAAGTTTTGTTGAAATCGCTATTGAATATTGCAATCTATATAGTGTAATGGATGGCTTCTTTTGTCAACCTTATCTCCTATGTTACCAACGTGTATCGTCTCCTTCTCCCTAAAGTGTACTTAATCTTTGCTTTCTTTGCACAATGTCTTTGGTTGCAAGTCATAAGCCTGAGGCAAATAAAATTCCAGTAATTTCCAAGAATGTGGTGTTGGTGCTTTCCTAATAAAGATATAACTGAGCTCAACAAACACTGCCTCTGGTTTTTGAGTTCTGGGAGATTAAAACCCTGGTGCCTGAGTAAGAGTCTCCTGCGGAGGGCTGGGCAAGCTCTTGCTACAGTGACATGGTAGGAAAAAATTTTTTTTAAGACTGAGAGTACCCCTTAGAATGAACCAGCTGTGTTGCAAGGGAGAGGAGTTTACTGCTTTTGTGACTTTACACTTACATAACAGGACTGATGCTGCCATGGACCAAGTCACACTGAGCCCCTGCTCAACCTTTTCTAGTGGTTTAACTTCTGTTTATTTACCAGAAAATCTACAGGTACACCTCAGAGATACTGCAGGTCCAGTTCTAGATCAACACAGTGAACAGCGCAATAGAGTGAGTCCCACGAGTGTCTGGTTTCCCAGTGCATGTAAAGTTCAGTTTGCACTATACTGTAGTCTTAAGTGTATAACAGCATCAAGTGTGCAATAGCATTATGTCCGAAAGATAACATACATCCCTTTCTAACCATCATCTGAGGCTTCAGCAAGTCATGGTAGTAATAGTCAGATCACAGATCACCAGAACAAATATAATAATGAGAAAGTATCAAAACCACTAAAACATGAAGTGAGCAAATGCGATTAGAAAGTAGTACTAACAGGCTTGCTGGAGGCGGGGGTTTACCACAGACCTGCAATTTGCAAAAAACACAGTATCTACAAAGCACAATAAAGCAAAGTGCAGTAAAAGGAAGTATGCCTATCTATGGTAATATAGATTTATACCTTAGTATTTAATAAATCTCTATTCATATCAATTTAGAAAGATCTGAAAAGTGCTCATTTTGAAAGACTGGTTCAGTGAACACCTTATATACCTTTCTACTAAGATTCATTAATGACTAATCTATCCCACCCCACCCCCACCCTCACCCACCACCCCCACCCCCACCCACTTGTTTCTTAACCAATGACAAGGACCAGAATGGAAGCATTTTCACTTGTCTCTAATGCATTAGTTGGTGGAAAGTTCATTTCTTAGAAATGTCTAAAGAGAACTATGGGATTCTTACTTTCATAATATGAGGAAGTGCCAACACATCTTTCTTTGAATCTTGAAGGAAATCTGACCCCCACAAAATGCAGTCCTCCTGTGAAATTCCTGTCTTTCTAAATGTCCACTCAGGTCTGAATTTCCAGTTAGTCTGAGCATTGCAGAATGTGTTGGTTTCCCTTCTTGGCTTGTTTAGTTTGCTGACCACAGTATGACTGTAGACTCCCAGGAAAGAATAACCCACATTAGTTTTTCTTACTGAGATGATCTGCTATTAAAGGCACTACTGTTCTAAAGCCATCCAAACCATCACCTTTATGGCTTAGGATGTCTATGTGTGAAGGATGTTCTCTGATCTCTCTCCTGCTGTCTTGCTGTGTTGTTCTCCCTGGCTAGAGTAGAAAGGAAAGGCAGAAGGTGGCTCCCAGAACAGTAGTGAGCTGGCAGGGAACGTGATCATGCGTGACTAAGAGGCATCTGCACATCCGCCTATTTTTAACCTGGTCACAGCAGCCACCTTGTCTGTTTCCCGTAGCTGAGCCCAGGGGTAGCCTTCGTTCTTTCCAAAAGCAACAGTTTTCCAGGAACAGAGGAAGGAAGCTAAGAGTATCAGGCAATGTACTTGATCTTTTACTAGAATTATTTAATTACAAGAACCCTGGGAAGAAGGCATAGTTCTTATTCCCTTTCTATAAATAAGGATGATGCAAAGGAGAGACTGAATAGCTATGGCCAGTGCCCCAAATCATAATTTGAAAGTTAAGATTTGTTTGCCTACAAAACCCATCTTCCTTGCAGCTTCCCTACCTCCCCAATGAGTGAAGGCTGGAACTGATCTTATTGATAAGCTCCAGGTACCCCTTTGTTTGGCAGTTGCTGATATTACCAGGGTTATAAACGAGTCCTGGCTTAGGTGTCTGGTTTCTGTGACTGAGAATGGAACTTTCCTCTAAGATCTGGTTTTTTTGGCTCGGCTCCTCCACTACCTTGGTTCTTTCTCTTGGTGACAAGCCACTCCACAAGGGTTAATACCTTGTCCTTTACACCCAGCTGCCATGGGATCCTAAAGGCCCCTGAGATTCCGCTGACTTGGATAGCACTAGGGCCCTCCAGGTGATTCTGATCATGCTCAAATCAAAGGAGCTCTGCTAAAGCTATCCGATTCTTAATCCCCATTATTTCATTCCTGGGGAACAGTATGAGGCTATGAGGCCACAGTGATCCTGATCCTGACTTAGATCACTGGTACAGGCATATACATCCATCACACAATCATCCTGGTAAAACCAATATAAGTGGAAATAACTGAAAAGTCTCAATATTTTTTCTCTTTCTGACACAACTTTTCTGTCATACAGGTTACCAGGAAGCAGACTTCAATTGTGCTTAAATTGAACCTCATTCAGACTGATAAACTATAATACTTGGGGGAAATATTTTTGGTCTCCTTAGCAGAAAGCTGGAGACATTCTCCCCTTATGAATAAATGTAGTTCCCATGAGGATATTATAGTGAGAGTCAATCTCACTCTACAGATATGCTGGAGGAATGGCTAAGTATATTCCTCTTCTTAAAATTTGCTACATAAGAGCCACATCAAACCAGATAAAGTACCATCTCTGCCCTTATTCACACATTCTGACATACAGTATATGAATCGCAGGGTTTCAGTCTCTATTACACTTGGAGAGAGGTCCTCAAAAATGAGGCCGCGCAGGGCAAGAAACAACGACTGATATGCCTAGAACTGCTAGATCTATGTCCAGGTGAGCTCTACTCATCACTGGTGTGGTTTAGGACACTGAGCTTATTAACAGAGGGTGGAAGTGACATGTTCCTAGTGACTAAGCCGTTTATGTAAGAGAGTATCCGTATTCTGCATCATTTTCAGTAAGTATTTTCCAAAGGGATTTTCCAAGTTGAAGAAAGCAAGACAACTAAGTCAAGGCTATGGGAAAACCAGCATTTCTGTTTATAAACACTGGTTTCTTTTTGAAAAATATGTATATACTAGAAAGAGGCCTCTGTCATTTTTCAAAGCATATTTTATTGAAGTGTAGTTGATTTACAATGTTGTGTTCGTTTCTCCTGTATGGCACAGTGATTCATTCATACATGTATATATACCACTCTTTTTCATGTTTTTCATTATGGTTTATCATAGGATTTTGAGTATAGTTTCTTGTGCTGTACAGTAGGACTTTGTTATTTATCCATTCAACAGAGGCCTCTTTGTGAACTCAAGAACTGCTGTGAAGCAATGCTCACTGTGAGATTATAAACCTTAAAGAGACTGGACTCATAATGCCCCACCAGAAAAATATGCATTGTAAATTGTCTTGTAAAACCTTTAAATTTCTCCTCCAAGATGATAAAATGGATGTATGTCCGCCACAACCAGTGAAATACAAAGAAAATTAATGTGGAATTCACTTCTACCTACCAGGCAATCAGCTTTAAGAGCTTGATGTGATTACTTCTGCCTGTTCTTATTCACATTAAAACACACACACACACACACACACACACACACACACATAGAAACATACACCGTCAAATGCCAGTTCCCCAGCTATCACCGATGTAACCTAGTAAAGATGAAGTGGAACTTATTGCTTACTGTGGTAAGGGAACCCACTGCCTTGATTGAGCTTTGGTAGTTTGAGAAGGAAAGTCAAGGTTGGATTTTCTTGAAATCTGATTTTGGTTAAGGCTGTGATATACAGTTTAGGACTGTGGAAGGAGTAAGGTAAGGATTTTGAGGGAGGAATATAAGAGTCTTAGGGCATAACCATCCATTAATTATGTTGCTTTCTCCTGAAGAGCTGACATGTCTTATAGGAGGCTCATGTAATAGACAATAATTTGCCAGAGCAAGGTTCTCCTGGAAAACTTAAATTATGCTAATGATGACAACAGAATTGTAAAGCCATGTTAATATTGATAGTAAGCTGTGCTGAGGTTGAATGTTCAGTTTCTTTCTTAAGTACCGTACTATTCTCTGCAACTTGCCTTATTTTCCTCCATGTCAACAGGGATTAAACTCACTTAAAATTTTTTCTGAGAACATTTATTTTCTTTTTTCTAATAAAATA